CAGCAGTAATGACAGCAAAGACTGTTCTTTAGGTCAGGTGGTACCATACTTCTTATAGTCAAGGAAAATAACTTTATCTAGCCTTTAAGGATGTTATGTTTTCTTTTTTGAGATGGTTCTTCCTAAGAAGTATATGTGTACCACTTCCACTTCTTTCTTTGCTGGTAAGCCTGTGTAAGTGTTTCATATAAAGCAGAGCCAGCTTTTCTGGATCTGTAAAGAGGCATAATTTTACAAAGGCATATATTAGTTTATCTCAAAGTTCTGAAAGGATTTTTGTTGATCTGAGGGACAGATTGGTCAAAGGATGCCTTCATGTGTTATTGTAAATGATTTATGTACCCTGGGTTTTCATGGCAGGTTAAAAATTCATATGAACATTAGGTTTAAAATTTAATTATCTGAACTGGCAGAAGCACTTCTTCAGGCTTGTAACTGGGCAGATATATAGCATTATACACAGCAAGGGAGACTTGGGACTTGTGTCCGGATCATCAGATGTATTATGTAGCCTACTCTCATTGACAGAGTCCAGATTTGGTCCTTGAATAAACAACTTGGTCTCTTGCTTTCATCATCCAAATACGAACTATGTCAATAATTTATGTTTACTCTCAAACAGCTGATTTTGCTAAATTTCTTTAGGCAGGTTTGATTCGGTAGCCAGTAACAACTTAACTAGGAAGCACTACTGAATGTGAGTGATGATAGTAAAATCTGACCCTGCATTTGCTTTTTGATATATTTGTGGTTTTGGAAGAAGTATAAAACAGTACTCTTGCATTAATTGTCTTTTTTACTCAAATCACATAGCTTTGTTGGGGCTATATTCCTCTTAGTGACCAGAGTCATCTGAGCACATCATTGGAGCACATTAAACATGTGCTCCAATTTTATTTGTTGAATTAGCCTTTTAGCAGACAGTATGAGGCACCCCTGGAAGGCAGATGATCCCACCTTTTTTAGAGTGGGACAAGTTGCCTGATGGAGCTGCCTGCTATCCATATGAGAATATGGACTGTTGGGTAGGTAAGTACACTTGGTCAGACAGGTAATTTTAGCTACCAAGTTAACAGAGATGAATCCATCAGAAATGGTCTTTTTTTTTTTTTTTTTTTTTTTTTTTTTTAATTGAGATACCAAATAGGGACCTATAAGGTTCTACTTCTGTATAATAGCAAAATATTGGCAAATGAACTGCTAAGGAAAGATTCTGCTAATATTCTCTTAAATTCTTTACAAAATAAAATTATGGACAATGGAAGTAAACAGAGTGATCCAATCATGTTTTAAAATTTTAACCAAGATGGCAAATATTTTTTTTTTAATGTGTGCTTGTGGGATTTAATTTGCTAAAATCATTTCCCTGAGATTCTTAGAATAAGAAGGCTAATAAACTGAAAAGCTTCTAAGTTGGTCTTTAAACATTAGGTTTGAGAATTTGTGTGGGCTGGACTAAAACTCAGAGTTTTATTGTTTTCATTGTATTTAAATTTGAAATTCTGGGGATACAGTCTTCTAATACAGAGGTGTTATAGTTTTGAAAGAAGTGAGATAAAGGAAAATGAAAATATTTACAAATAAAGACTTCTTACATAAAAGAGGGAAACCAGTAACTGATATGTGTAATGTAAATGTTTATATTTCAGATGTTCTCTGCGAGACTTTGTACAAAATATCAAATATTCAAAGATATTTAAGCTAATTGTTTACCTTACTCCAGATGGTAAAGAATTGTTCCTTGTTGTAGCAGTGAACATAATAATCACAAGTATGCACCTAAGTAGAAAGGAATGCACCCAGTTCTGCAATATAGATTTATAGCTCATCGCTTGATGGTGATTTGAGGCAACTTCTGCTAAGCAGAGGCTGCTTGTTTAAGAAGAAGCTGCAGGTAAATGGAGGTATCAGATATTGCACTTTATTTCAGAGAGAAGATGCTCTGGTTGTCATAGGAATGGCAATTCTCCTCCTCTTGGCTGATATCTTGGGATTTTTTGATGTTGTCTTCCTCTCCATGGAGCCTTGTTATCTCTGAAAGAAAGGAAGTGTAGCCAGATAAGAGCCTGCGCACTTTCATCTACTTTGTGGAAGCAAAGGTAATCAGTGAAGCAGCACAACAGTGGCACATTATGGACCAAGCTGGGACTGGGTGGATAAAACTTCCTGCCAGCAAAAATCAGTTTGCTATAAGTGGCTTCCTTTGTGAAGACATTATAAAGGCTGTGGTGCTGATTAGAAGGGCCTCTCTGTGGGTGAAAATCCTGTCCCTGTGTTTCCTTGCCTTTTGGTGTCCTAGTGGCAGCCTTGGACTGGGAATGTACAGCCTGCTCTCTGGAGATAAGGAAATTCCCATCAGGATAATGGTCCCTGAGAGTGAAGAGTGTTACGTGAAGAACCTGCCTGCCACTGATCAACGAGTAGTTTGTGTTTCAGACCAATAATTCTTCTCCAGTCGAGTCAAATTCTTTCAAAACTTACCATCTCTCCTACTCAGAGTAGACAAGCACATAACCATTGCTGAAATACAATTTTTCTGCAGAACCCTGAAAATTCTTGGAAGTAAAACAGGAATACCAATAAACTTGTGGGGTTTGGAGGTGTAACACAGGAATGGATTTCCTTTTCCCTGTGTACAGTCACTTCAGAAATCCATGCTGCCTGCATTAGGAACAGCCAGTCCTTTTTGAGCTAGGCCTGTACATAGCAGAATGTAAAGTTTGCATTGACCTTAGGGTGATCCTTTGATCTTGACAACTGTACATCCTGTATGCAACACCAGCACGAGTTCTGGAAGGGTTTGTTCACATGATCTTCCTCCATGAGAGTACCAATTTCTCACAAGACTCCTAAATAAGGTCACCAATACAGAAACTTAAGGATATACTTTAAAGGTGTGACACAATCTTCCTTTCTGACATAGGGCTGAATTCAGCTCCTACATCTTGGGGTAGAGGGCCTTTTGAGCTGGAATGTCCACTAAACTGATCTCCAGTCTCAGATAAGAGTTTGGAGTGTGAGAGCTGAGCTAAATAGGCAAGGCAGAATCATGGTACTACTGACTGATGCTATAACCCTATACTCTGCAATGCTTGAAGAGTGTTTCATAATGAGGACAAATTGAAAGTCTGTTTAGAACAGAAAAATACAGTTAAATGAACAAGTGGAACACGTATACAAAGTAAAAACTTTTTATTTGTAACAATACCAAACAGAAACTAGGGAAATTAGCATGGCTCTTGGAGAAGAGCACTGAAAATTCTGGTTGTTTATTTCTATTATTAAAATATGGTCTACATACATATATATATATATATATATGATATAAAGCAAACTGTGGAGTCATACAAGTAATACAAGAACTACTGATGCTGTGAAGTTGTATTAAAACCCAACAAAGGACGTGCTTCCATAAATATGTGAAGTTCATAGCTTTGTAATATACCAAGGAAAGCAAGTCAAATTTCTAGTTGTGTTGACTGTAAGCATTTATTAAAGCAGTACAAGAATCTTAATGGGCACCTCACTTTGGTAACAAGTGCAAATTTGGGAACAGAGTCTGGTCTTGTGATTCTTACTCTGAATTGACCAAAAAGAACATTTTTTAAAAAATATTTTTAAATCCAGCATCCCTATATTTTGCCATCTGATCTGCTTTCTGAACACCAGCTGAGTTCAGAATAGGTCTGAGTAGATCTCATATTGACTAAAGGGGTCTTTGAGATTCACTCAAATGAAGACTGCAGGGTTCAGTTCCTTAGTCTAAGTATAGACTTCAGTGCCATTTGTGATGACTTAGGAGGCGTGTGATTCTGCCAGGCCTCCACAAACTGCTGCAGAAGGGCACAGGTCTTGTACAGTTCCTACATTGTTTTTTCCAGTCTTGTGCACAGTCCCATCTCAGTAGCCATCTAAACTGAGATATCTTCATTTGTGAGGAAATACTTGTAGCTTAGGTTATATAACTAAACATATCTTCAAACAGATGGCTCAGCAGCATCCATTTGTCTGATTTAGTGGGAATTGTATATGTTGTCCAAGTGCAGAGATGTGGTTAGCAAGCTCTAAAAATCTGCACTGTGGATGCAGAACTAGTGCAGAGCTATGTGACAAGTGTGAATGATAGTGGTTAAACTGGTAGAAGCAAAATAATTTACTGTGTAAGCATATCCAGAGAAGGTTAAAGGCTGATTACAGTAAGAAGATAGTCATGAGATAGCTGTAAGGATTGTGAGTGATACATGATCATAATGCTGTACAAGCAGAAACACATCTTCTAGCTGTAGAAAATAGGAAATAAGAGGAGGAACATTTTTCTTGTGATAGTGTCCTTTTAGTCACAGCTTTATTCCTGGTTTTCAACTAACTCATTACTTTCCATGAGTGAGCAGCTTTCAGAGCTTGCCATCCCTTAAGGTGATTAGCAATTGCCTCAGTGTAATCTGTTGTATCTGGAAAGAAAAATCTGTTTTGTGGCATGTCCTACATGGCTTTTGTTTGTGAGGGGTGGGCATGCCTGAACTGAAGCCACATCAGAGACAGCAGGACACAGGATTCTTTTTAGGATAACAGGATCTAGGTCTACATCTATACCGGCAAGGATTAAAGGAAAACAGGGGCTTGGGCTCAGCTACTGTGCTTCATTGTCCAATCTGTATAGCTGTTAGCATGCTTCCTGCAGTATTTTGGCAGATGCCAGTAATGATTTTGCCAGACAATTCCTGAGCTTGGCTCAGAGGAGAGCACAGGCTGAGCATTTTTCCTGCAAAGCAGTTCCCTGTTCCTTGTCCCTCTATGAGAGCAATTACACTCAACATCTTGACCCTCCCTGGTACAGACCAGACATTTTCCTTCAGATCTTTGTTGTAATTCCTGTCAAAACATAGAGATGTTAACCTAAAATCAACTAGTGCTCAAGAAGAACATTTTACACAACTTTTCAATTTAAAGATGTTGGCAGTACTGCATTTTAACCACATCTTTCTAACTCCTTATGCCAGGTGCTTCTCCTGCTACTGGTCACTCTCTTAAAGCCCAAAAGCTCCAAGTGAGATCAACAGAGCAACATGTTTGCTTCTCCTCCCTGCTGGCAACAACAGCTTGCTTCCAAAGGAGAAATCTGAAAGTCCTCAGAAAGTGAGCTAGCTGTGTGGGTAAGTCTAAAATGATTAGCCATTTCAAAGTTCACTGAAGCTCTGTTGTGTATTTTGAGTGGTCTTACTGGTATCAGGATCCTGCTTCAGAGGTATAAGAAATGTGAACCTACAGCTTCAGTGAAATAAAGGAAGTGCATCTTCAAGATGGATGATTTGTTATGAAAAGAGAAGAAAAGTGTTGTCAACACTTAAGTGGAAACCTCTGTTAAAGGCACAGCTGGAAATTACAGGCAACTCTCTTCAAAATGCAGTTAGTTCCATAATTCCATTTCCCAGCACTAAAACTGCCACACAAGAAAGCTTTTAGCCAGCAGGATAGCAACTCAGTGCTTACTGCCCCTGTGACTGCTGTGAGTCCCCCTGTTCAGTGCAGATCTTTTTGGGAGAAAAGGCTGAGGGAACTATTACATAGAATGAGGATGAAAAATTTCTGAGTGAGGTTGTGTTGTGTTCTTTTCTGCCTAAAACTCAAGTAGCCTGAAACTTGAAGGGGCTGTAATAGCAGTTCAGAAGCCTTGTCAGGATTTTCCTGAAGGCTTTTCTCCTTCTTGGACAGCGTATTGAAAAGTTTCAGATATGGAAAGAGAATAATATTCCCAGGACCTAATAATTGACTTAATTCCTACCCAGAGTCATAGCCTATGGGTGCTTTCATACACCTGCACACCTGCAATTCCGTGGCCTGGGGAGGGGGCACAGGGATTTAGGAGAGCAGATTTTGGGTAGTATACAGTATACAGTCTGTTCTTCAGCCCCACAAAGCCAGATTCTGAAGACTCTCTGATCACTGAATCATACAGCTGAATCTATCACAGCATTAGCTGGTGACCCTCTTTTGTGGACAAGGTATTATCTGAAGTTAGAGATGGCCTTTAAGAAAGATATTTGAGGTGTGCTCTCCAGAATGACACTTCATTGTTCTTCAGCACTCACTTCCATTTCCACTTGCATGGGTAAATCTGAGTTTCCTCTTGCTCATGGGAGGGTGCAGAAAGCTAGACTCTGGAATGAAGGGGATGAGGGACGAGTTTTTGGTAAGAATGTGATAAACATGGATAGAGATTTGCCCATCCCACCCCCCTGTTGGGCGACCTATAACAGTAATAGGAGTTTTTCCCAGATCTTAAGAAACTTCTACTTATTATTAGGTTAATTGTTATAGGGTTGAGAAAAAAGCATATTTTTTATTAAGTCTGTTTTTGCAGACTGAGAAGGCTCTGCAACTCTTCATCACATGCTCTTTGCTTGGATTTATTTTTAGTAATGTTCTCTTCCTTTTTTTGTTCCTTTTTTCCCCCAAATATCTTTTCATAAAACTAAATTGAACTTGAAAAGAAGGGAGAGAAAATCAGTTTGATATTTACACTGAACCATAAGACATGTCACTTTGTTACTTTAACTTAAAAATGGACAAAGGTAAAGAACAGAAAAAGGTCCTGGAATATAATGGATCTACAAGTCATCTCTAAGTACTGCTTCCAAAAAATTCCTTTCTATCAATCTCTTTTCAAATACAAAGGAGCAGAAGAAACATTTTCAGCCTTTTACTGGGTTGAGTATGCAGGAGGAATATCATGGGAATAAGTTTAGAAATATTGAGAACTCAAATTCAGACTCTTTGATGTTAACAGCTTTTTTTGCCAAGAGAGAACATTTTTCTCTACTTAGAATAGAAATTCGCATTATAAACATATGCAGCTACAGTGAGACTTTTCCTAGCTCTGATGCATTTTAGACTAGAAGGTCTATCTGGAGCACATCACATATATTTTCTGCTTCTTGGTAATCAGAAGGAGTTAAATTACACTAACCTCCCCAGGACCTGCTCTCTCCCACATGAAATGAGTTGATGCATAAGAAAACAGAGCTCAGACCTTTGGGTCATGGTCTATTTGTTCCTGACAGTTACAGGATGTGCGTATGTGGGAAGAACAGTAGCCCTAGGGATGAAGGAGAAAAGACAGAGGACTAAACAGGCTCAGGAAAGTAGTTTCTGCTGGGAGCTTAGGACACCAGAAATCTGACATATTCACAGTAGTTCAGGTAGATAGTTCAGCAGAGAAAGACAGTATTTGAGGTCCTATTCTAAACACATCTGCCAGCTGAAAAAAGAAGATAAGAAAGACAAAATGAACATTAAGAATACTAATGCAGGTCAAGTAGTTGACTGTTGGTATGAGCAACAGTGTAACTAACCCATAATTTGAATCTAAAATGAAAAATGAGCAGCTACCATTTTATGATTTAACACTCTTCAAACAAAACACAAGGCAGTAAGGAACTCAAAGAAAAAGGTTCCTAAAAAGACAAAAGAAAACAATGTTACAGCTGTGTCGAATTTTTTTCACTTTCATGTGACACTGAGGTGGGTGAGCAACTGTGGAGATGAGTGGAGCCTCAGATAAAAGATTGGAAAACCTACAAAACCTACTGAGAACAAAGAAGCCCCGAATCTCAGCACAAACACCTTTGAGCTTAAGGAGCTGAATCTGAATGAACTGTACTATCTCCAGTTTCCCCCATCTCCTGGGACAGCTGGTCAAAAGCCTGGTAAGACACTGTGAAACAAGAGCGTGCAGAGTCAAACTTGCCACCGTACAACCTTTTCTCTGAACCACACCGTTCTACACTGTTTTAAGCTGTGTCTAAATTAAAGCAGTCTGGGACAAAGGTCAGTGTCTAGAAAGCTAAAGTGAACTCTGGCTTCTTCATGGAGTTTATTTGTGTTTTGGGACAAATAATTTGATCTCCTGTGACACAATAATTGTTGGTAATTTAATAGAGGAAGCAAAGTTTATGCTTTCCAAAGAGAAGTAGGAGCGTTAGGGTCCTGCAGCTTCCTTGACCTGGGAAAGGACATGAATCTCTGTTGTGCAAGTACACTATTCACTTTCTGCTTTCCTTCTTTCACCTTTACTTATCTCTAAAAATGAATTTCAGGTCATACTGGAGACTTTCAGTGAAATGAATTTGTATTATATGCTTCAACTCAGATCAAAATGTCAAAACACTATAGGAAAGTAATCTTTGTTTTTAGCCCCAGAGAGGAAATGCATATACTTGAAAAGTCTGTCCTTGTGAAATGTCTGCAGCACTGTTGCAGAGACAAGAAATATAAGTACTCAGTGTCTTGTCCTGCAAAGACACTACCATTGAATAATAATTAGTCCTTGTAAGGTAAATAAACCAAACTCTGCTTCCCTGCATGCCAATAAGGTCTCTGTGACTTTAAGATGCTGGGATGCAGCTCAGGGTCCAACTATATACCCACCCTAACCTCTACAGTATGTGCCTGTTAGCAGTCCTGAAACCCTTCTGTTCCTCTGTCTCTAACATACTTCAGCTCAAAGTTACATCATATTGTCTCTGTTTTGCATTGTTATTTTAGGAACAAATGCTTTGTCCGTTTGCTACCACAAAAATCCCAACAACTTCTGCTATGGAAAACTGACGTTACAAAACAAGGGAGAGAAAGATTGATACCAAAACGAAACTCAACAAAGCAACTGTATCAAAAAAAGCTGTTCTCAATCTGATGATAAAGACAACACTCAGTGTTCATCTTTCTTCCAAAATTTTCACTTAACGAAACTAAAATATGTATGGAGTACAACTTAGAATGTACAAATTTTACCCATCCCTACTGTCACTCAGCTGTGAGTCTGGGGTTTGGAGTTGTATTTCTGTGACAATAGTCAATGGGTCTGCCTGGGTAAGATGGAACATAATTTAAGTACAAATGACAGAACTGGCACCTTAAAGAGCCCTGCATTTTTATGTAGATTTCTACTATTGCATTTCATAATAATTATTTTTCAGTTAATTTTTCTACAACACTATTACAGTTGTATCTTACTTTAGTCTCTGATAGTGAAACAAGAAAGGAATTTCCCTCTGTTGTGGTCTGCTCTGCTCGCTTTACCTCTTGCAACAACTGTAGTGAAATCACAAAGACTCGTTCTAGTGAGGTGAACGTGAGTTGTCCTGTAAAGCTTGGTTATAATACTTAAGTATTAAATAACAGTGCTTAGCACTTATGCAACTTAATGCCTTATAATCTTCAAAGCACTTTACAAATCTTAACCAGTTAATCCCCTCAGCAGCTCTGTGTGGTAGGTTTTGAAGGCCACACATTAAAAATCTCCCACAATATGAACTTGCCTGCATAGTAAGCCTATGGGAAAAATATCTGCACAGTTATGTTCCTCAAGTCATGAGTGTTTGATGTTACTGCACTTTAATGTGCCTTACTTTCAGTAAATTAGTTCTACTGTCTTATCCCATTCAAAGTAAATCCATTGCACCCTGCAGCGTGGCTCAGCATAGAGTATTATAACAATTTTGAGGGTTTTTTAAATTATTAAAACTCCTGGAATCAAATAAGAAGAACAGAGTCTGATTTTTTTTTTAAGAAATCAAGTTTATACTGCCAGTGATTGTGAAGACAGTGTATGGGAAAGGGTCAGAAAGACTCTAAAGACTGAAGCACTCAGGAGAATAACTACCATTTTTAGCAACCCTTTTGAAAATATAAGTTTTGTGATGTTGAGATTGACTTGAAAATGGAAACAGTGTTGTTTGTGATACTACTACAGTGGACTAAAAGCAGTATTTCCACTTCATTTAGAAAATAATATGTTTTTCTAGCTCAAATTTTCTTTGAATTTTCATGTTCCAGAAAAAAAAAAAGAATATTGAATAGTTATTGCTTTAGCCTTTTAGGGTCTAAAATTTCCCATGAAGTGAGTGGAAATACTGCTTTTAGTCCACTGTAGCAGTATCACAATCACCAGTGCTTCAATTTTTTGTTAGTTTTGCTGGAAAACTTTTTAAAACAACATTACAGTTTGACAGTGACATAATTCTTTGAGAAGAGCAAATTCACCAACCTGGCCTGGTGAGGCCTTCTTCCAAGAGAAGCAGCTAGAAAGTAGAGTTTCTATCACAAACTAAATAAAAAATCATCAATTTTCCAGAATGTTCACTGCAGCTTTATT